CCCATCTTGCATGACATTTCAAATGCCACTATCTTGCCAATGACTATGGCTGAGGTCATGGTGCTCAAGTCCTCCATGTTGTGAAGGATGGTGATGATGCTTGCATATTTCTTTTGTGGTAGCACGGAGATGATCTTCCTCACGATGTCCACATCATCTAGCTTTGTTAGTCTTATTGAATGGAGCTCATTGATAATTAGATTCAAACGAGAATACATATCACGAACAAGCTCATCATTATTCATTATAAAGGATTCATAATTTTGTTTAGCTAGACAATGTTTTTGCTCACGGACATTAGATGTGCCGTCATGGAGCTCTTGGAGTTTTAACCAAATTTCATGTGCCATATTTAAAGTGAACACTTGGTTAAACACATCCATACTAAATGATTCAAACAAGCAATTTTTAGCTCTAGCATTGAAATAAATTTCCTTTTCTTCACTCTTCGTGGGTTTATCGGGATTCTTAATGGTTTTCATCCCATCATGAGTGACTCTCTAAACACCCAAATCAACCGCCTCAAGGTAGCAAGCCATTCTAGCTTTATAATAGGGAAAGTTAGTGCCGTCAAAGTGTGGAGGCCTAGAGGTATCCATCCCAACCACTCTAAAAAGCGTCGGCTCAATGGCGGTTAAGCCAAAGGTCTAAATTGAGCCAACCGGCTCTGATACCACTTGTAGAGGACCATGACGCCTAAGAGGGGGGGGGTGAATTAGGCAACTTAAAATTCAACTCTAAACTATGGCCTCTTTTTCTAACCTTAGCAAGCTTCTCCCTAATCCTCGTTGGAGCCCCTTGCAAGGAATCCCTCGCAAGGGCCAAGCTCCCGGTCGGGTAACTCCGTGGATAGCCTCGGGCCATCCCCACGCGCAAGTGGGTCTTCGACGTGCCTTCCGGCAAGCCTCTCCCGGATGCTCCTCGCCGTCTTCACTATCAAGCTTTCGGCCAAAACACCGTGGGCCTTGTTCCCTCTGGTACATGGTGGCGGCCACACCACAAACGTGGTTGGTGTGATCTCGCAAGACTACAAGCCCCTCCAATGTACAACAATGGTGCGTGCAAGCACCGAGTGGTAAGAGGTATGCAAACCTCACTAAACACTAGGCCTAAACCTAGAGCAAGCACATAAGCGGTGGTCTAATCAACCAAGCACTTGGCAAAGCACCTACGCTAATCACCTAATGAAACACTAAGCACTATGCAAGTGGAGATCACTAAAATGGTGTATCAACACCCTAGATATGTTTCCTCAGCTCCACCATTCTCAAATGGCCGGTTGGGGGTCTATTTATAAGCCCCACTGAGAAAGTAGCCGTTGGGGACAAAATCCCGCTTTTCTGCTACTGATCGGACTCTGACCAGCGTCCGGTCCACACTGACCGGACGCGTCCACTCATGAAAATGGCTCTCTGGAACCTTAATGATGTTGACCGGACTCTGGCACCCAGCGTTCGGTCACTTTGCTGCTCAGCGTCCGGTCCGGCGTCCGGTCACCTCTGTGAGCTGTCCATCGTCCGATCACCTCTGTGAGCTCGTTTCTTCGCGATCTTGCATTCGGCTTGGTTCCTATCTTCGTGCTTGGACTTTTCTTGATATCTTGGGTCTTCTCTTGTGCTTCTAAGGTCTTGCTTATGGTGTTGATCATTGGATCATCATGTCGCCTTTGTCCAAGTCACGTCTTGCATCCTATTGAACTACAAAACAATCACTTGTAAATTCATAGTCCAATTTGGTTGTTTTGGTCATCAAACACCAAAATCCAAAGTAAATGGGCCAAGGGTCCATTTTCCTTATAGATGGCATAAGCCCATACGGCCCGTGGCCCGGTCCAGGCACGGCTCAGCCCGATGATCTTGGGACCCATGCGGCCGTGTAGGTCTGGCCTAATTATAGGGCTGTACATGGGCGTGGCTAGACTGTAGACCCGGCCCAATTAACTTGAGAGTAGAGACCAATTAAAAATCCATTCTGTCTATCTTTATATGCCCCGTTCGCTTGACTGATAAGCCATGGCTAAAAGTACCGTTGGTTGATTTGTTGTGAGAGAAAAATACTGTTCGTTGGCTGAAAAAGTACGGCTTATAAGCCTAGCGAACAGGGCGATAATTTGTGAAGTTAAATGCACAAGAGGTCTCTAAAAATTGTCAAGGGTTGCCGTTTAGTTCTACAAACTTCTAAAATTCATTCTGGGTCCTAAACTTATTAAGTGGTGCACCACAGTGGTCGGTATGGTCCAAAAATAGACCCATGATGCACTTAACAAATTTAGGGACTTACGGTGCACCATTTAAAAACTCAAAAATACATTTTCAAAATTTGCGGATTTAAGTGACACATCTCGACAAGTTTAATATCTCAGCATCTAACTTCATCCCCGACCAGACTCCTCTCCTCTCGGCCCCTAACCCCTGACGGATACCAGGTGTCTTCTTAGTCGTCGCCTAGCTCCTCCCTCTAGCCCTAAACCCCCATGCGAGATATTGGGTATCTTCCCCTCTCCAACCCCAATGATGTCACCGACCCTAGCATGTTCCCCTCTCCTCCCTCAGACCCAATGATGCCGACTCTCCTCTACTCCGCTCTGAGATCTGCTCTGAGATCTTGACTCTGCTTTGAGATCTACTCTGAGATCTTGACTCCGCTTTGAGATCTACTCCGAGATCTACTCAGGGTGTTGGCTCCCCTCCCTTCCTCTCCACTCTATTCACCTTCTTCTAATGCTAGTGCAAAAGTTCTCGGCCACAGCTTGCATGCGTGACGGTGATGACGCAAGGACAAGACCTTGGCCAGCGCGTGACGATGATGATGGAGGGGCGAGGCACCGGCCAGCATGCACATCGATGACTACGCAAGGGCATGGCGGACTTGTCGGGTCCATGGGCCGGCACGACACAGCTAAGCTAGGCAGACACGGGCCATGCCTGGTCCACTTGCTGAGCCCGTGGGCTGGCGTAACACGACACAATTACATAGTGAGGTAGTACCTCATCAGGCAGGGCCGTCATAGAGGGGTGGGCGATAGGTACAACCACCGGGGCCCATGTCTTTTTTTAAGCGTGCTTGGAACGTGCTTTATTAAGAGAGGTTAGAGTTGGTACAGACAGAATGTTGCGGGGAACAAAGGCGAGTTGCCGAGCGCGCCGCAAAGACATACACTTTACACAGATCACCGGCTTGAACGGTGGAGCTAACACAATGTGCTAAGTAAGAAACCAAGTTATGCGACGATGGAAGAGCAAGCAAGCAGACATTGGATGCTCCCCTAGTTCACCGCGGCGAACAGCGCGGCCAGGCTCCAGTACCCAACTGCGATCTAGGAGTCGCCCTCTTCTCAAATCAAGGAGAGGACCTGTGCCAGCGACTTCGCAACGTTGTCGAACGCCCGCCTATTGCGCTCCTTCCAGACGACCTAGGAGGCTAGGAGGACGAGCGAGCCAAACCCACGCCGTAGGCTCAACGGTGAGGGCGGACAAGGGCGACTTCCTCCACACGCCCGGCTGTTAAGGCCACGGGCGTTCCAAACTAGCAGGTGATTAGCACCCATTTGATGACAACTAGGTGGCGACCGGTGTCACTACGTGGAAAACGGTTTCTAGCAATGGGACAAATTTTTTGTAGGAGCGGCTGGTGATGGAGCCGCCCCTACAGTGGCGTGCTTGGCAGCCCAGAGACCAGATGCCCCTACAAATGAAACAATAGGGGCGGCTGGTGATACGAGCCGCCCCTACAAATGGGTCGGATTTGTAGGGGCGGCTCACTCACCAGCCGCCCCCGATGTTGCTATTTGTAGGGGCGGCTGGTGATTGAGCCGCCCCTACAAATGCCCTCATATAAATACCTCCGATTTGTAGGGGCGGCTTAATCACCAGCCACCCCTACAAATGATCCACATATAAAGTAAACTGCAGCACCTTCTTTCTCCTCGGGTCACTCACTCCAACCCGTGAAAGAAAAGTGGGGAGGCCTTGGGCACCTTCAAAAATTGCTCTACTAAAGGGGGAAGGTTTTGGTCTAAAATCCTTTGGTGGAAAGGTTGTAGAAGGTAAGAAAATACTATTCCATACTTTTTTGAAGTTTTAATGGTTGGTTAGTGAGTAATTAGAGTTTTGTTTTTCTCTCTCTTCTATGGTGCTTGAGCTACTTATGAAGCAAATTAGATCCAAGTTTTGAATGTACTTGGGTAAATTTAGTAGGGGAACAAGATCGTACCCTTATTTGGTCCATGTTTCTTGATTTTAGTGAACAATTAGTTAGTTTTATGGATGTTTCATGTGCATGTAGATCTAAGGTTTGGTTTTCTGGAAAAAAGACCCAGTGATGAACTACACACAGGCTCTGCTCGTTGCCTCGTTTCGTCGTTCACCGCCGTCGCACAGAGGCTCGGCGCTGCCGGTAGCGTCCTCGGCAGCCGGAGATAGGCAAGAAGAGGGGGTTCGGGGGTATGAGGCTACGCCACCGGTAGCTCGGGCGGCCGTCCCACCACGCCCCTAGGGCAGCTCCGTCGTTGACATGGGATACGCGTGGAAAGCAGAGGAGAGGAGGAGGCGCGAACAGCCTCCGCACGGGCGGCGTGGGCCTCTGCGTTGGCGCGCTAAACGCAGGTGCCGGTGGGCGATGTTTGGACAGCGCAGGCCTCCGCATGGATGTGTGAAACGGGGGCGCAGGCGCAGGCGTCCGGACGGGACGTCCGCTGTCGTTTAACAAATCCATATGATAATCAGGGTCAGGTACGCTGCACGTTCGTCCTGTCCCTTCATTGTACCCGTCGTGTGGTCGTTGGGTTACCGAATAATTAGCATCACGTTAATTAACCTGAAAAACCTCTGCCGGCTGGTAAACTGAGAAATTATCTGTAACATGTAATTCGAGATAATCAATGGCATTTTATTTATTCATAATCATATATAATATAAAATAAAATATATAACCAGTAATCATCATCGTGACATATATAGGTATAGGTACTACGCGCGGCAACAATAGTCGTCGTCATATTCTCAGTCGCATCTGCTGGCTATCCTTCCAAGGACGTCGCAAAGTTCCGTGGCCTTGGAGTTCATGACGGCGTGGTCGGCGCCGGCGATCTCCTCGACCTCCGTGCCGGGGCTCATTTCCACCATCCAGCGCTGCATCTCCTCCGTGCTGGATTCGTCGGCCTTGGCGACCACGAACACCTTCTTGACGGACCCGTAGTTGGCGGCCGTGAGCAGCGCCTCGTCCTTCATCACCGGGTCGTCCAGGAACTGGTTCCCGGGCCTCACCAGCATCTTCGCCAGGGTCAGATCCTCCGCCGGGCTCTCCTGGTAGTACTTCTCCTCCATGAACCTTGGACCCATCACGATCGCTACCCCTTTCTTCCCGCCGGCAGCTTCACTGCCGGGGCCGGTGTCGGCGCCGTCGTTGATGGGCACCACTTGGCAGTCCATGAGCAGCCCTTTAGAAGCAGTTCTTCTCATGAACTGCAGTGCATCCATCACAAAAACAAAGAAGAAAAAATCAAGTTTGACATATATCTAAATATTTGCAAGTTGTTGTGACGGGCCAGTTTGTAAGGGAATACAATGATGAGACAATGTTTGGTGGCTGCTGGTGCACATGCGTGTGTACATACCTCCTCTGTGGTGACGCCCATGTGCTTGCCGACGCACGGCAGCGCGGCAGCCACGAACACGGCGGCGGCGACCTTGTGCGGGAACCTCTCCATGGCGAGCGCCAGGCTGAGGCCGCCGTGGCTGTGGCCGACGAGGACCAGCCTGTCGCCGTCGGGGGCCGCGGCGACCGCGTCCAGCAGCGTGCGCGAGTAGTCCTCGAAGGAGCGCACCTCGTGGAGGCGCGCCGGGTGGGCGCCCGCCGCGGCCAGGTCCAGCGCCGTCACGCGGTGGCCGGCGGATTCCAGCGCGGTGGCCACCTTGTACCAGCACCACGCGCCGTGGCAGAGGCCGTGCACCAGCACGAAGTGCTTGCCGCCGCCGCCGACTTCCATTGCTGCTAGCCTGCTACCTGTGCGTCGGTGTGGAGTGCTAGCTGGACAGTTTGTGATCGATTGATCTTGTCTGCTTCGGTGCTGGTGTGCAGAGCCTGCAGAGCGTGATGTTTATTTATATGTAGAGGCGCGGTGGTGATTGCCGCTGCGTTTCTTCTTCTTCTTCAAGTTGATCATCAGTCATCACCTTCTGCTGCAAGAAGCAAGTGTTGACTCAATTCCTGGAAGCTGGTTTGCCTTTACTGGATAATGGAACAATTCTGAAATGAGCTGGTAATGCGCGAGTTAGTTAAGTGAGGAATCAAGATTCGCTTATCAATGTAATCCCTTCGTCAAGAAAAATATAATACAATTTTAGAATAGCAAAAAGTCAAACTTTAGAATTTTATCTTTAACAAATAGAGGTAGTGTTACCTTTCCCCTCCCGTCCGCGTCGCTCGCTGTGTGGGCGACTCGAGCGGACACCAAACCCTAGCCGCTGCCACCTCCACTCCCTCCCCTCCCCTGTCTCGCCGCCGGGGACCATGCGGCGACCTAGAATGGCGGCGGCGGGGCCTGCTCCGACTTGGGTTCTCTTGCGCTGCCCCTGCGAACCGGCGAGGCGAGGCGACCTCCTGCAGGCGCGGGTGGCACGACGATGGCGCGGCGCGGATGGCCTCCCTCTCTCCATCTCCCTCTCCTCCTCTGGCGGGAGTGGAGGTAGGGCCTAGAAGGTTCGATCTCTACCTCAGGGACACGAAAATGGGTGGATCTGGCGGTGGCTGCGGCTTCCCTTCTGTGTGAAGCGGCGGCGGCGGCCAGATCCACCCTCCATGGTTGGGGCCGGTGCTCCCTCTGCGGGGCCCGGTGCCCTTGTCACCTGGTTCCTTTGCCGTTGCTGTGGTCTGGCTTAGATCTACGGAGGGCTGGGGAGCGGGCGTGCAGACGGTGGCTGTTCGGTGCTGTGGCTACTGAAGGCCTTGCGCGGCATGGGTGGATGCGGGGTCGGCTCGGTAGGGGTTGGGACGGTGGTGGGCTGGGCGACTGGGGCTTCTTTTGATCCCGGCCCTCTTCTCCCCGCCATCTGCCTGCCTCCCTGCTCGGACTGGCTTGGTGGAGCTAGCCGGATCTGCGTGTTGCTACGGCGGAGGGCGGACTCTCCGGCGGGCTTCTCCCGGCCGCTCCTAGCTGGCGTTCCTAGGGGCGGCGACCAGGCGGGGATGTTGTGAACCTCTCGGCGCATCCTACCTCCTTGGTAGTGTTGGGTCTTCGGCGGCGGCGGTGTGGATGATTCATGAGGTCAGGGCGAAAGCTTGGATGACGACGTCTGTGGACGCCGTTTACCTTCTTGAAGGCGTCCTTTACTACCTCTCCTCCTACCGTGCTGGATTTTGCATGTGAAAATCTTCCCTCATCGGGCTACCCTGTCGACGCTCTTGGCGTCATTTCCTTCTTGAAGGCTCTGCTAGGCGATCTAGTTCTCCGCTATTGATCTCATGCCGTATGCCATGGCGCTTCTCCAAGGGTGGCGGTGCTCGGTGCTCCAAGTGGTCTTTTCTAGCTGAGTGTCTTAGTTGGGTCTTTTCTTCAGTCAAGTTGTGGTTAGTTGGTTAGTTGTGTTTAGTGGGGTCGTTTCGACCAAGTTGCAAATAGTAGCGTGAGTTGTGACAGTTGTACCAAAGTTGTGCAGGATGAGTGGGGTACTCTCCTCAGTTGTATGGTTTTTCTGGCCCGGTTTTCATTCAAAAAAACTGGGTTGGCACTTGCCTTTTTTCTTTCTTCTCATCTAATAGAAATAGCGGCAAAGCTTTTGCCGTCCTTTCTAAAAAACAAACAGAGGTAGTATATTGTTTGATTTCCATGATCATTAAGCTCTAGAACTAGGACACAAGAACATGAACAAAGCTTGTGCTACTCATACCTTCGTTGGATGAGTTAGCCATTGGGCTAGCTGATGACCCGTGCCTACTTGAAGGAGGCAAAATGTAGTAGAGGCTACGTGTGGGAAAGCTCTTCCCAATGTTGCAGCAGCTACATGATCAATGGCTTAGAGTAGTGTTCCTTTCACTGGATTTCACTCACTCGAGATGGTCTAGGGTGCCTCTCCATTTAACTTTGCTGCTGCATGCTGGGGGGCTTTCCTTGTCAACAATGGTGGCTGCTTGGTCAAGTCCTTGCCTCTGATCAAGGCAGAGGACAAACCAGGCTGTTCTTGGTCTTTGGAAGTCTTCATGACCTCCTGTCATGCACAGTGAGTACTGAAGCATCACACAACCAATTTAGTGTTTTCACAATTGGTTCTTATGATCAATCCAATATTCTCCGCCTTGATCACAAGCCTTACTATCATAAATTCATTTCTCAACAAAATGATACACCAAGACATAGGATTACAATAGTCAATTAAGTACCTTTGAACTCTTATGACTATAGTACAACGTTCCATTTCAAAATGAACTTGTTTGGACATTATGGGAGAATGCTACAAATATGCCCCACTTTATTCCAGAATCAGAGGCTCTCTACCAGACCCATGCCGTACCATGTCCATTGAATACAATGGGTGGTAGTCCTTTAGTGAGCAGATCCACTAGCATCAATTTTGTACTTATGTACTTGACATCAATTGTCTCATCCTAGATTCTATTTTTCCACAACATGGTTGTAAGGATCAAGATGGCAAGAGAGGGTGAATAGCCTATAAAAATTTCTTCTACAAATCACAATTAACTAGAGCATAGTGGTTAGTACAATAGATGCCCCTAATAGCAAGTACTAGCACTAGCTCTAGTTCACTTTAAGCAACCCTCTACATAAGTCTAGTAGCGGTTGGTTCTTTAACTAAAACGCTTCACCACACAAGGCTACTAGAAACTAAGCTACACTAGAGAGCTAAACAAAGAAGTAACTAACAACTAGTTACTACTAACAAGAACAACTAGCTACTCTAGGCTACAACTAACGAGAGAGCAACCTCTAGTTAGCTCCACAAACAACAAGCACTACACTAGCAAGAATATGAATGAAATACAAGTGTAGAGCTTATACCGATCCGGGCAAGAGAGATGACACAATCAATTTTTCTCCCGAGATTCGGTTGTTTGCCGGCAACTTAATCCCCGTTTTGGCGAGTCTTATGGTGAGTGATTCGTGCACTAACTAGCATCACACGCTAGACCCTCAACTTGGGTGTCGCTAGACCCTCAACTTGGGTGTCGCAAGAATCACTCACACAAACACTCCTTCTAGACACACGCAATTTATTAGAGTATCCCCTTTGCACTCCGTGAGGCGGGATCAAGAACCTCGCCACAATCAACTTGATTGGGGATGGAAACAATCACCAATTCCCCTCACCAATCACTGAAGCTCCAACCATCTAGGTGGCTGCAACCACCAAGAGTAACAAGAACGCCCAAGCTTCAACAATCACTAGTGCCACCAAGATGCAATCAAACAATGCAATGCACTAGTGATGAATCAATCCTCTCTCAATGTGTTTTCAAGTTCACAAGTGAACAAGAGTCTGGCTTTCCTTAGCTCTAGAGTGAAGAAGGAGGTGCAACAATATGCCAGGAGAGCTCCCAAAGCTATCACTCTAGCTATTTAGAGCAACTTCAAAGACGCTATTTATATCTATCCTAAATGTTAGGAATAAAAATTTTGAGAAAAAAAATATCATTCAACAGCTTCTTTAAATGGTTGTCTAAATATAGCCATCGTATACTCCGGATCTCTTGCTAGCCATTTATAATATATATAAGTAGTGTTCATGATCAGCATTTTATTTATTCATATATATAATATATAAAATATATATAAGCAGTGTTCATCACATATATAGGTACTTGTATCACTGCACGCGGCAACAATAGTCGTTGTCATATTCTCAGTCGCATCTGCTGGCTACCCTTCCAAGGACGTCGCAATGTTCCCTGGCCTTGGAGTTCATGACGGCGTGGTCGGCGCAGGCGATCTCCTCGATCTCCGTGCCGGGGCTCATGGCCAAAATCCAGCGCTGCATCTCCTCGGTGCTGGCTTCGTCGGCCTTGGCCACCACCACGTACACCTTCTTGACGGACCCGTAGTTGGCGGCCGTCAACAGCGCCTCGTCCTTCATCAGCGGGGCGTCCAGGAACTGGTTGCCGGGCCTCACCAGCAGCTTCGCCAGGGTCACATCCTCCGCCGGGCTCTCCTGATAATATTTCTCCTTCATGAACCTTGGACCCATCACGATCGCTGTGCGTTGCTGCCCGCCGGCACCTTCACTGCCGGTGCCGGTGATGGGCACCAGTTCGCAGTCCATGAGCAGCCCTTCGGAAGCATCTCTTCTCATGAACTTCTCATGAACTGCGTTCATCGCAAAAGAAGAAGAAAAAATCAAACTTGACATATATATTTGTGACTGTGACATGAAACTTGAAACAATGGTTGGTGCATGTGCGTGTGTTTGTGTACCTCCTTGATGATAACGCCCATGTGCTTGCCGACGCACGGCAGCGCGGCGGCCACACGAACACGGCGGCGGCGACCTTGCGCGGGAACCTCTCCATGGCGAGTGCAAGGCTGAGGCCGCCGTGGCTGTGGCCGACGGGGATCAGCCTGTAGTCCGAGCGGACCTCGTGCAGGCGCGCCCGACGCTGCCAGGTCCAGCGCCGTCACGCGGTGCCCGGCGGATTCCAGCGCGGTGGACACCTTGTACCAGCACCACGCGCCGTGGCAGAGGCCGTGCACCAGCACGAAATGCTTGCCGCCGCCGCCGCCGCCGACCTCCATTGAGCACGTGCTGGAGAGTTTGTGTGGCAAAACCATCTAATATAATGCATCCCAGGAGTGCTCGTCTTTCATTAGACACTAAGCATCTAATGAAGAATACTAAATTACTCGGTTCCGTTGGACACACCCCAGGGGAGAACCCAAAAATCCACATTTTTACATCAGGATCATAAATGAGAGAATAAAGCTTATATTATTTTTAACCATTTCTTACATCACTTTTAATACAACATCAGAGTATAATATTTATTGTTATAACAACAGAATGTAATCATATTATCAGAGTTATAAACAATTTAATTGAACAACGGAATATAAACATATGATCATAATTACAGCGGAAATAAATATCTATTCATAGCATGATGAAACATTGATAACTGAACTATGACAACAGATTATAAAAACTTCTGTTTATAAAAATATTTGGTGAGAGTTATAAATAAGAACTATGATCGCAGCGTAAAGGAAATCCTCTCTGAGCCCACCAGGAGGAATCCACACATAAAGGTCAGCTCTAACCTCCACCTGTCACCTGTAATAGGGGAATAAAACCCTGAGTACTCAGTTATACTCAGCAAGACTTACCCGACAGGAGAAAAGAAAAGACTCCAAGGATATGCAAGGCTATCTGGCTTGTGGGTTTATTGCATTTGCAGAAAGCATTACTAAGCGTGCGCCCTTATATTCGATTTTTATAAATAGCCACATTGGTTCATTAACTAACCATCCTATGTAAGCACCAGTGCTACTTTCAAGTAGGTGGTAAGCAATCAGATTTTTTTTCCATCTTCTATCTTTCAATTCTTACTATGATGCTAGATATGAAACAAGCCGTACCGGATTGCTCGGCGATTCGCGAATCAATGCCCCCAGCTGGGTACCCCGAAAACACATGCCCCGCTTGTACCTAAGGCACAAGCAGGACCAACCCATCACCCTCCTGTCCTGGGGTCCTAGGTCCCCGTCCAACTGGGACTCCAAGGCCCCGCCCCTGAGTCCCGGACTCAGTGCGGGGCAAGGACCTCCTCCACAAAAAAAACCCTGATAGTCGGTCCGGAAAGAACCGAAACCCACGACAAGAGAGCAACAAATCTTCCAAATGCCCATACCCAAGTATGTGCTCGGGATAATAAGTCTGTGACTTGCCTCGATGGCTTATGCAACGACCGGTCCTTAACCGACACAGACAGGGAAAGCAGTGTAACCAAGCCATGCCCCGCATCCACGGTGACACAACCTCTTACACCCACCAATACTCAAACCATATCCCTGTCCGATCACCATTTTTTCTTTCCACCATTTATATTTTCCAAGTGATACTAATACAGTAATATATTTCCTATCACTCGCGAGTGACAGGCAATCACTCGACTTCTACCGGAGTCCTGTAGCATAGCATTCTACACGATCATGTAATACTAGTAAGACTCATAGGATAAAGATATATATATATGCAAGTGGGTTTCAATCAATTCTTTAAAACTTAATACACAATTATAATTTAAACTGTAGAAAAGTAGGGGTTATGCACTGGGGCTTGTCTGGGTAAGATATATATTAAAAATTTAGTATCTGCATATTCAGATCATCCACCATTAACTGAATAGAAAACCCATTGCATCATCTTCTGGAGATAATACCATTACACCATCTTCGAATTTTCAATCATCCTTCAATTGATCCGTTGATCCATCATCGTACCTATACGATATGCAATGCGATGTAATGCAAAGACATAATTAATCGACTATAACCGTGACTCGAAGAATATGATTTACGCCTCTCAAGTTAACGAGCTAGTTCTAACGACGATCGTACTTAGGCCACATATCAATATTGTCAAATCAGGCGTTATTTCCCAACAATTATTTTAGTTATATAAATCTAGTTGTTTCTTTATTTCATTTTATTGATTTAATCATTATTCGGAATAGGGCATCATTATCTATCTAACAAACTAATTATTCCGGAGCTACAAAAATTACAGTGAGCAGCTAATAATATTAGTAATTTACTGTAAAATTCTTTGAGTTAATACTGTCACCGATTTATCACGGAAATTCCTACAAGTTCACATTTTAACAATATTAAGCATTTTAAAATAATTAGAGCAATCCTAAAAATATATAGAACCTATGCGAACGAAATATACTATTAGATAGATCATGGTTTTAGGGACTCAACAAAACTGGTTTAACATTTTTATGATTTTTTTACTATTTACTACGAATTTGCAAACATTCAGCCGATTACTAATATTAACAAAATATTGAAGAAAGAAGAAAAGACCCCTTGGGCTCGAAACGGCCTAGCTCGCCTGGACCAGCGGCCACGGCAGCCCAGGCGGGGCAAGCGCGAGCGCACAGCCGGCCCAGAGCGCGGCGAACGGCCTAGGCGCAAGCGGACCAAGCCGACAGTGCAAGCAGGCCGGCCCACCAAGCCGACCCAGGCGCGAGTGAGCAGCCAGCCCACGCGCGGGAGCAGGCCGGCCCCGGAGGTATCCGCAGCGGCAAAGGCAATCTTCCTAAAGAGTCCTCGTTTTATCCCGTAATTACAAAACCATTGAGGCCACTATTCCTATGAGTCATGCTATTCGCATTTTAGTCCTTAGACAAATCAAATTCATGTTTTCGCATGTTCTAGGGAAACCAGAGCATAGAAGCGCAGCCAGTCATGGACGGTCGGCACTGGTTCCGGCCGAGAGGGCTCACCGGCGGCGTGGGACGAGCGACGAGGCGCGTGGGCCCCCACGCGGAGACCCTGTGGCCGTGGAGAGTGACCCGGGGGGACCAGGACACCCGATAGGGGGGCAACTGCCCACGTCAGCGCGGTTCACCGACGGTGGCGTACGTGCACCATCGAGACGAGCATGGTACATCTTAATCTGCGGGGTGGGGAAACAACAGGGCCTCTCCTAGGTACTGCCAGTGGCATTGGTTCGGTCGGATACGCTGCGTCGATGAGGTGGTGGCGGCGAACTAGAGCAGCGCCATCGTTCTCGACAGTACGAAGCTCCATCGGAGAACCTGCTGCAGTAGAAGAGGCAAGGTAACAAGGTGGCTCCGAGACGAGGTAAAAACAAAGAGGAGATGGACGTGGAGAACATGCCCACGGTGGAGCCAAGCTTCGGCGCCGATGGTAACCATGATGATGGCGAGGCCACGCATGGCGGTACCAGTGGACGTATTTCACCGAGGCTTCGTCCGAAGGCTAGCTAAGGAGCTAGCACAGCTGTGGGTGCGAGCAATTGGAGGGGGATGAGTTGAGCGTGGCCAATTTGGAGAAGGAGGGAAGAGCACGAGGGCGTCAATGGTGGACGGCTGCTCTGCTCGACTGCAATGTTGGCAAGGGAAAGCGGTAGCCTGCAGTGCGAGGGCGCGGTGGCTAGCGAGGCGGCTCGGGCGGCAGCAGGGAAATGCGTGGGCCGAAAGACGCTACGACGGTGAGGCACGGTAGCAGAGCGGAACCATGGGGCAGCAACCGACAACGGTGGCCAGGTGCAGAAGCAGAGGCGGTGGCCGAGCTCAGCGCGGGTGGATCGGTGAGGCGCTGCGGCTCAGCTGGGTGCGGGGATGCAGGGCAAGGGCGCGGACACCAGGACGTCGAGCGCTAGGAAGGAAGAGGAGGGAGCGCCGATGACTGCGGACACGGGGGCACGATTTGCACGGCAGGGCGACGGCACCGTAGGCGCGAATGGAGGCGAGCAGGGAAGGGAGAGCATGAACTGGGACTATGGTTTAGCGCGTAGCAAGCAGAGGGAAGGAAATGAGCCAGCAACGGCGGTAGCAGCTCAGCTCGAAAAAGCAATTGGAGACAGAGGTAGACAGAGCAGAGGGAGGATTCGGCCTTTACTCGAACGAGAACACAGGGCAGCGCAGAGATAAAGCATGCAAACCGGGAAAAGACGAGGCAGGCAAGCAGAGGGAGGCGAGGGAAACAAGGAGCATCTGCCGGATGAAAGCTGGGGCCAGCCATAGAAATAGACAAGGAAGGGGCCGCAGCACGAAGGTCGGCCAACTTCCATTATTCAGGGACCGCGCGGCATGCTTCGGCAACATTGCAGAGCGATGGGACGATGCGAGCAGCAGGACAAGCAAGGCAGTACACGGCAGCAGCAGCCCGGCCAACTTTCATCCATCAGCGCACGCATCGTACCGGCGAGTTAGGCGGGGCGAGCGACCAGCGGAACTCTCGTTATTATTTCAGCTCTCAAATATTCATTTTCCATGCTGACTATTTATATTTTTAAACACGACTAAAGCACTAAAGTTTGTTACTCGATATTTTAACCGCAACCAAAATCATACTCTGAATTTTACTTAAGTACTATATACCAGTCATATCGTATTTTTGTTTATAAAATTTGTTTTCATGTTCAATCCAACAGAACAAGCCATTCGCCATTTACTTGCTAGAATCGTTATCGGACATTCCTAAATATTTCTACGCACTGTGTAATTTAACTTGAGCGTTTATTTGAGTCCACAAAACTACGTCACACATGATTCGCTTATCACATCAAGTATGTTTTAAATCAAAATTCCAAAAAACTCAGTTTCGAAAATTTGACTTAGGCCTAAATCACGGTGCTAAACGAACCCGTAACACTAGGGGTGTTACAACCAACCCCCTTAAAAAGAATCTCGTCCCGAGATTCGAAGCAAGAACCAGAAGAGGGGGAACACGATTACATTTCATAGATCATGGGTTACACGAAAGACTACACGACTTCGAATACTAAACCACACGGGGATTCAGAGATACATAGTTACGAGCAACCTAATACCACCGAGACTTAATCCAAAAGTTGAGATAGACGAGGGCAATGGAGAAACAATAGGATAATGAGTATCCAAAACATGGCGTATGACCAACAGATCAAAAAATAGTCGACTGAGAAGTAAAACATCGTGAATCCTAAGACCAACTAATCAGAGGAAACTCAAACTTCTTTGAAAACCAGATCCTTCTTCTTCTTCGATTACACCATCACCTCA